TAAATGGTTCCAGAAAGTCTGACGAAAACCGAATTTGACGAAAACTGGAGCAATTTTTCCCATGAGAAATAATGTAAATCCAATTAATCTGTTCCAGACACCCAAAAGTATTAATAAAAAATACATTTTATACAGAATAACTATAGTTCAGTTTAGATTTAGAAAGGATAGAGGAAAGTTCTGGTTTGGTAATAGGGTAGTTGATGAGTGGAACGGTCTGCTTAGTAGGGTTATCGAAGCTAACACTTTGGGTAGTTTCAAATTTAGATCAGATAAATACACGAGTGAGAAGGGATGGATTTGAGTGGGATTTGCACGTGAGTGCAAAGGACCAGTAGGCCTTCTGTAGTGTTCCTCCATTCTTATGTAAATAGAATTGTCAAAGCTTATTGCTTGGATACCATTTAGTCTGTTAGTGGGTTGGATTTGTGAAGGACCTGCCAAGTATGAGCCAACAGGCCTACTGCAGTGTTCCTCCTTTCTTATGTTATGTACCCACGACACCAATTATACCCAGCCCCTCCCACTCATATATTTATCCAATCTCTTTTTAAAGCTACCCAAGGTCCTATTGAAGCTAAAACCTTGGGCAGTTTCAAATTAAGTTGGATAAATACATGAGCGAGTGGAGATGGATTTGAGTGGGTCTTGCATGTGAGTAAATAGAATTATCAAAGCTTATTGCTTGGGTAGCGTTTATTCTGTTAACGGATTGGATTTGTCAAGAACCTGCCAAGTATGGGCCAATAGGCCTACTGCAGTGCTACTCCTCCGACGAAAACCGAGGTGATGAATGAAAACTGGGACAATATTTTGATGATAAAAGTCGTCGAAAACCAAATTTGATGAAAACCAGGGCAAATGAAAACTGAGGTCCCACTGTATACAACATTTAACCCTTTGACTGTCGCGGCCGTATATATACGTCTTACGAGGTACCGTGTTTGACGTATATATACTCATAAATTCTAGCGGCTTCAAGTCAAGAAGGAGAAAGCTGGTAGGCCCACATGTGAGAGAATGGGTCTGTGGTCAGTGTGCACCATATAAAAAAATCCTGGAGCACGCAGTGCATAATTAGAAAAAAAAAAACTCCGACCGTTTTTTTTAATTATAATGCCGACTTTGTGGTCTATTTTTGTATAGTATTTATGGTTATATTCTCGTTTTCTTGGTCTCATTTGATAGAATGGAAAACATATTATAGAAATAGAGGTGATTTTGATTGATTTTACTATAAAAAACCTGGAAATGGAGCTCAAAGTAGGGAAAATGTTTGATTTTTGCCCATGTTCAAAAGTAAACAAATGATGTCATTGTCCAATAAATGTCCAACTAGCCATTCTAATATGCAGTCATGAATGGGTTGATGTTACTTATACAATTATTACAGTATTGCAGTAGTCTGCATAATAGTAAATCTATTTTTTGTTTGAATAAAAATTCAAAATAGAAAGCAAGAGTAATATCAGAGGGGCCTGGAGACATGACTGATGAACAAAGAAAATGTTATTTTAGAGCCAGGAATGTCTGCATTGTTCATTCTGGACCTTATTTTGAAATTGTCATAATTTTTTAATTTTCGTTAAATTGGCCAAATTGCAAATTTCTGACCACGTTATTGGGTAGTTGAAATTGGTAAATGGGCAGTTTCTTGTACTCAATCGATAGAAAAAATGGAGTTCTAAAGAAATAGCTATGAGTTTGGTCGACTGGAACAATGGAATTAGCCGAAAATAGGGCTCAAAGTGGGCGAAATTGCCGATTTGTAAATATCGCTGAGGTAGCTAACTTCACGAGACCGTAATTCCATCAGTTTTCCATCAAATTTCGTTTTTTTGGTGTCATTACAATCGGGAAAAGATTCTCTATCATTTCATAAGAAAAAATTTTTTTTTTTTTTTTTTTAAATTTTGCGACACCAGGAGACACCTCAGGATTGGGGGTTGCGACAGTCAAGGGGTTAATGTGAGATCATTATTATTAATGTGGCGTCAAGAGTAGAGAGACTCTTAGTGATTTTAATGTGTACCTGCATGCCAGCACAGTGTGAAAGTATATTTAGGTACAGGTACACATAAATACATAATTATCAGAGTACATATAAAATATGCAATAGCTTTAAGCCACTTGAAATTTTGGAAAGTTTCCAGACACAGTAGAGAGATGTGCTCACAGAGAATGTAAACAAACCAGGTGAGGCGCACTGTATTAGAAAGACGGGGAGCCGTACAGCGAGTTATAGTCACAATTTGAAATTGCCGTATTAGAGGAATGCCGTAAGGCAAAACGCCCTAAGGTGGGGCCCTACTGTCATATAGTAGACTGGAGGGTTGGCAACTGGTGTGACATTATAGCTATCACAATCACAACGTAATTAAGACAATTATAAGCTCATTAGCCATAGATCCCATGTACATAACTTGTTCCAAGTCATAGGCAATAAGTCACAGCCATTAGGAAAAAATCTCCTTACTGTTTAGGTCAAAAAATGGGTTGTTATTCAAGTACATACTATAAATGCTCAAACTCTGTCACCACCCAGTGTTTGGAGAAAATATTTTGCAGAGTCCTTAACACAGATGATGAAGGAAATAAAGAATTTCATGAATGGGTAGAGAAGATTTGTTAGCACAAAGCAGGAACCAGAGATCATGCAGAGGATGAGTGTGGGGTAGACGGCAGGTAAAACAGCGGTTAAAATAGTAGAGATGGATGTAATTAAGACAGAGGTGCTGAAATCAGGTAATACTGTACCTTGAGTATACCTGGAGAGTGTTTCAGACATCAATGCCCCTGCAGCATTGCCTTCCCCAGGCCTTGTGGTGGATCAGGACTTGATCAACCAGGCTGTTACTGCTGGCCACATGCAAACTGACGTACAAGCTACAGCCCAGCTGGTCAGGTACTGACTTTTGGTCAGTACCTGACCAGCACCTTCTTGAAGACAGCCATGGGTTTATTGGTAATCCCCCTTATGTAGCCTGGGAGGCAGTTGAACAGTCTTGGGCCCCTGACACTTATTGTGTTGTCTCTTAGCATACTGCTCTTTATTGGGGGGATGTTGTATCTCCTCCAAAGTCTTTTGCTTTTATAGGGAGTGATTTTTGTGGGCAAATTTGGGACTCTCAGGAATGCAGAGTACAAATCAAGGGACTTCAACCATTCCCAGTAATTTAGGTGCTTTATTGTCCTTATAAGTGCCAGAAAAGTTCTCTCTATATTCTCCAGGTCTGCAATTTTGCGTGCCTTGAAAGGGGCTGTTAGTGTACAGCAGTATTCCAGCCTTGAGAGAACAAGCAATTTAAAGAGAGTCATCATGGGCTTGGCATCCCTAGTTTTGAAAGTTTCTCATTATCCATCCCATCATTTTCCTAGCAGATGTGATAGATGCATTGTTGTAATCTTTGAAAGTGAGATTCTCTGTCATTATCACTATTGCATGGTTGGAATTTGTTTTACACTCAGGTACAGTTTTAATTTCCTCAAGCTTTCCATAGCGAAGTAACTTGAAATTTGTCTTCATTGAGCTTCATATTGTTTTCTGTGGCCCATTTAAAGATTTGACTGATATCCGTTTGGAGACTTGAAGTGTCTTTGATGGATGACACTGTCATGCAAATTTGGGTGTCATCCACAAAGGAGGACAGAGTGCTGTGGCTTACATCTCTATGTCAGGTATGAGAATGAGGAACAGGATGGGAGTGAGTAAATGATCAACTTATGAAAGGATTATAGATATTGAGAGTAAGTATAAATTGATTATAATGTTTTACCTTTGTTCATGATACTGAGCAAATGCATGTATAGCTTTTACGTATGTATTTATGATGGGCTGGGATATGTTAAGGAGATAGTGTTTCTTAACTGTAGTTTTAAAATGGTAGCTGAGTCAGTGGTTCTGGAGATTTCTGGTAGAGTTCCAGATTTTGGGCCCTTATATGTACACTGAATTTTTGAAAAGATTTAGCCTGACATGGGAAATGTCACAGAAATTTCTGTGCCTAGTGTTACATCTATGGGTCCAATTGCAACTGTCAAGAAAGTTGAGATTTATATTAGAATTGATTGTTCTGCAAATGTTGGTTGCATAGTAGTATGAGTAAATGTTTTGTATAGTGAGTAGATTTAGGTCTTTGAAGGAGGGAGGGGGGGTTGTCTAGCAGTGGATTGTGTGATCATTCACACTGCAGCTTTTTGCTAGGTTATTATTGACTTTAGGTGATTTGTCGTTGTGGAACCCCAAGCACAAATAGCATAGGTGAGGTAGGGGTAGATCAGTGAATAGTATAGTGAAAGTAGAGCTGTTTGTGGTACATAGTAATGTATCTTCGAGAAGATACCAACTGCTTTAGATACTTTTTTGTTGTGTGTTGGATATGGGTACTGAATTTCAGGTTGCTGTCAAGGTGCAGACCCAGGAGAGACAGAAAGCAGACTACAGAGGAACAAGGAGGATTTAATAAAAGAAAGTGTACATAAAGTGTTTACATTAGTGTTTATAAGTAAGCAAGATAAAAGTAGCTATTCATTGCAATTACTGATTTGGAAAATGCATCTGAAAGGGTGAAAAGGGCAGCAATGCTGCAGGTTTGGGTAGCTGGTAGTGAGAAGCTGCAGTTTTTTGAATGAAAAAGATAATGGGAGTGTCTCCCAGTAAAAGTAAGCTTTTGACAGGAAGACCTATGTCATCATGGTTGTTTAGTACATGTATGTTTATAGATAGGTTATGAAATAAGTGAATGATAGTACGTATGTTGAGATTATTGTAACAGTAGCCATTTCCCACCATGAAAGGGTGGGAAATGGCTACTGTCTTTTCAGGCATCATGTGTACAGCTAGAATGGGATCCAAGAGTAAGCAGGGTGTGCTGCAGCCACTCAAAACTTAAAATATCTATTCTACAACAAACTAAATACACAAAGAGTACTGCATAGCTCTACTCTTTAACTAAAACACAGGTAACATCATACAGACACAGAAGCCACTGAAACATTACCGTGAGTTTCCTTCGCTTATTGTATGATGGCCAGCCTTGAGGTTCAAGAACAAATCTACCACCAGGTTTCAGGTTGTGAAAAATGCGCCAGAAGAATCTCTTGAGACCAGAGTCTCCCCAGTTAAGATGAACCCATTTTGTAATGCTCAGACACAAGATTGTGTCAAACTCTGGCCGCACTGTCTCTAATAACTCGTCAGACTCCAACACATAATTGGCCTGAAATCAATTAAATTCCTACAAATATCACAAGATTATTACATACTTAAGAGTATACAGGTGCTCCTCAACTTATGATGGGGTTACGTTACAACAAACCCATTGTAAGTTGAAAATATCCTAAGTTGAATATGAATATTACATGATATATAAATAAATAACTACAATCACTGAATACGTAAATAAACAAATAAATATTGTAACTAAATATCAGTATTGAAAAGTAAATAAATGAATACAAGTTTATCCTATCAATAAATGAACAGTATTGTACAGCATTGCTATCACACCATCATAAAGTCAAAATATCTTAAGTCAAACCATCATAAAGCAAGAAGCATCTGTACAGTGCTATCTCAATGTTCAAACTTAATCTGTTCCAGTAGACTGTTCAAATAGAGTTGCACAAATATTGAATCAATTTTTGTCATAAGAAATAATGTAAATTGGATTAATCCATTCCAGACCCCAAACAATTAAGAATGTTAAAGTGTGAGAACTTCAAAAAGTCAACCCTGTGGGCAAGAAGCAAACAAGTTACTGCTATGCTATGGATATTAACAAAAATTTAGGCAAAAAAAAAATTCACCGATTCCTAGGAATGTAACCTTCAATAAATTTGTACAGGATTCCCAAAGCAATCTCATGTTAAAGGTAACATCCTGTTTTTTAACACAATTCCTGTAAAAAATTTTAAAAATTT